CACACACACACACACACACACACACACACACACACACACACACACTCTCTCTCTCTCTCTCGCACCCTCACTCGTACCGGCAACATGAGCCAGAAGTTATGTAAATAGAACAGCACAACGTCATTCTTGCTGAACGCCCACCATCCAGTTGGAACGACATTAATGAAATAATTTATTTCATAAATACCAAGTAATACATCAAAATGACAATTACATTGGGCAGTCACGTCAACCTTATCATAACGCGTTTTACTTTCCTTTCTCTTGAGCTGTCCTAAAAGATAGTGAAGCAACGACAAAGGTAAGACTTCTTCATTTTCCAGATATTAAGACCCTTAATACAAACGTGACAGAACGACAAGCCGATTATGTGAAAACTTTTTTAATAGAACGTGTACAGAAAATAAGTCTGTTCTGATGATGATGATGATGTTGTGATTGGAATGGATACTTTCACCAGGCTATTGTGAGCAAACGTCGATTGTTTAGAGAGTAGTAGGAGATAGCACTTAATTTACTCATTTTCCTTAGTCATTATGCTCTGGAAAAAACATAGAGTACTGATTGCTAAGACAAAACTTTCAACATAATCTCACATAGGTTGGAACACTTTGTCGTTAATGCAGAAATGAAGTATGGTCCCTTTCTTTGAATCAATTCCCGTAAGAAAAAAGAAATACACACAACATTGAACAAACAATGAAATGGGGTCATCCTGGAATTCCAGTGCAAGATGTAGTCTGGGAACCAGACTGCTAGTACGAGTACCGAGTCTCTTTAAGCGTCACGACAATGTTGTAATTCTTTAGGCATTTTGTCAAGTTCAGGGTGCTATAAAAGCTACGACACATTGGCAGATTCAGTTTACCTATGATATTACCGCAAGCAAGGTGCTTTTTACTCTCCCTATTTGTCCCAATCCCTGCCTCCCTCCACCACTTTCTCTCCCCTCAATCCCCCCTCGTCTCTCTCTCTCTCTCTCTCTCTCTCTCTCTCTCTCTCTCTCTCTCTCTCCCCTTTTGCCTCCAAAATACCTAAGACTTACTGAAGGGGAACACCAACTCAGTTATAGTATAGGCGACTTGAGTTTGAATCCTCTTAAAAAAATAATTCTTTAAGGATTGTGGCACCCCATTTTCCATTATAATGTAAGCATTTTTATACCCAGATCAACACACACTAAAATTACTTATGGGGGCGAGCTTCTGACCCTCCCTGTCAACTTAAGCTGAGAGAGATATAACATAACAGCAGAAAGACCAAGACCCTCAATAATATTTGTCCCCTCTCATTAATCGACCTCGGTACTCCAGCGTGTGGCAGCGAAGAGCCGAACTATTACTTTATAGACTCCGGTCCCGTCTCTTTCTAAAGGTACTGAAAGAGGAGGCTCGTAAACTCGCGCCTTACCTTAAGTGCTCATCGGTCTAACAGGGCACTTTTTTCAACCCAAAACTTTGCTCTAAAGGGCATAAACTTAGATACAATATTCAGAAAAGGATGTTGTAGTACGATCAGTCAGTGGGCGGTGTAGGCGAGTCCGTCCGTCGAGCCACAATTGCTTCAGCGTGCTCTCTAGCCTTCTGCCTCAGCTCTGCCAGGCTGCTCGTCCGGTGCTCGCCGAAGGTTGGCGGGAACGAGCCCGAATTACTTCCGCCTCCGCTGCAGTTTCCAGCGATGTGGTTACTTCCTGTTCCGTTTGAGCGAGGTGGGCAGTACATACAGAAGGGTAGACAACCTGAGGAATACAGAAAAATGATATATATCACACACTTTTGTAAAGTGCAATTCCATTATTTCAATTAGATTCTAACAGCCTTATTTGTTTGCTTATCTGTCTGTCTGGGTACAGCACTCCTTTGTTTAAGATAATGCCAATCATCCAGACAGGAAAATCTAACTCTGAAAAAAGATGGCCAGCCACAAAAATAATAACATGGCCATTGTATGCAATGAAACAAACTCGACGAGCATATTATACTAAATATCAACTTATTTTCAGCTTAGCGTTTTGTTGGTATGGCACCAACTGTATCTTTCCCGCCATCTTAAACATAGTCTGAATGACGGGAAAACAGAAAGGGCAATACCTGATTTATCATCATCATCATCATCATCATCATCATCATCATCATCATCATCATCATCATCATCCCGGCCACTCAATAAGAGAGGCCGTGTACTTCTGTGCAGGGCTACCGTCTCTACCTCTCCCAACTGTATCCTGTCTCCTTTTGGTCGGAAACTGATCCCTCCTCAAAAATTATTTCTTTTTCTTTCCTTGCAGATTACATTTTAACGCTTGGTAGCTTATGTTTGTTATCAGTTTTTTCAAGGTGCGCCCAATCCACTTCCCTATTTCTTTCTGATTTCTATAATAATAGCCTACCTATTTTCTATTGATTTGTAAGCTTCCATAGGTTTTCTTTCTTATGGTGTCAGACCCATGGATTATAAGATTTTTTATAAGCAGCTGTTTTTTAATGTGTGTAGCTTTTTGGAAGTTCGTTTTATAAGTTTTCATGTTTCTGATCCTTAGAGTTGTATACTTTTGACACTGTGTGTTGACAATACTAGCAATGGTTTTTATGTTCCTACAAGTATACATCACTGACTTCCATACGTTTTTTTACTAATTGTGTGTAGACACCTTTACCTATGACAATGGTTCAAACAAGAGTTCCACCACCTCCCTCCCCATCTTTTCTTCTCAATAAATGGGCAAAAAAATAATGGTAGAACTTGCAGCAGTCTGACATGAAACAACATGCGACAACAGCATTGTCTCTCTATTTAGAACAGGGTCAACGTCCGTCAGAAGCCAGAACAGTCCGAGCAATAATTTGAATACTAAAACATCACCCACCCTTGAAGGCCGGGTGGGGCAAGTGGGAGGAGAGGAACTGCCTGGAAGAAAGCAACGAGTCGTACCCGGACTTGAACCTTGATCTGTGAGGAGGAAACAATAATTATATCAGTTATGTTTTCTGAGGAAACAGTTCCTTCAGAGGTAGACAGAAAGATTGATAGACAAACAGACAGACAGACAGATAGATAGATAGATAAACAAGCAGGCAGGGAGGCAGACTGACAAACAGACAGATAGATAGAAAGAGAAACAATGTGCAGACAGACAGACAGATAGATAGACAGACAGGCAGGCAGGCAGGCAGGCAGGCAAACAGACAGGCTGATAGATAGAATGATAAATAGATAGATAGATAGACAGATAGACAGACGGGCTGATAGATAGATAGATAGATAGATAGATAGATAGATAGATAGATAGATAGATAGATAGATAGATAGATAGATAGATAGATAGATATGCCCACCATTTCTTCAAAGCCAAACTTTTGAGTTCAATCTCCTTCAACTTGTCCATGATAATGTTTTTTAAAAAAATACTAAAAATGTGAGGCTCCAGCCTGAGAAAGCCTGCTCCTCTCTAGAGGTTTTCTTTTTCCAGTCTCTAGAGAAGTTAGTTTTCATGATAAATATAAATTATATTTCAAACTTTAAAAAACAACAACTCACATTTCCGGTAAAACATAAAGTCCTCGCTATCTTTGTGGAAAAGATGATATCTTTAATTAATGCCAAATGATGTGCATGCGAACAATCCTTTTGTTACAATGAGAGTGTGAAATATTAGCGTAAAAGAAATCAACGTGAATCAGACTTACCCGTCCATGCTTGAAAGTAGACCCGGTCTGTTCATGGCCAGCAGGCTTTGTGTGAAGGGCAATGCTCCACGGCTCATCTTTGCCATCAGCGCTAGGTCGGGAGAGCGCCACATGAGTGGAGGCATAAGTCCCAGCATGCCTAGAGCGGGGTCATTTCCGTATGATGTCATTCCCGAGTGTCCAAAGGCCAAGGACGGAGACACGGGAAACCCCGGCGGTGGAGCGTCTACTGAAAGCGAGGCTCCAGCGGTGGACGTGATTCCACCGCGACCGTCTGACGTCATCGGGATTCCCGCTGCTACAGAGGGGGTGTTTGTGAGTGACAGCGCGGGAGAGGTGGATGATGTGGGGGATAAAGACTTTCTCCCCTCGTACGGCGGGCTAATGAGAGGCTCTAAAGACGACGGTGTGTTCAAGATCAGCTTCCCTCCATCTGACGCCGCAGGAGGCGGCATAAACTCGTGTCTGATCGGAGAATGTCGGGGGAAGCCGAGGTACGGCGGAGGCTCATGTCTTCGGGGGCTAGCATTCATCATCATGTGAGACTCATGCCGATGATGATTTAGGATAGGCAGCAATGGTCGTTTGTCCCCTGTGTTGTTGTTGTCGTCTTCATCTTCAACATCCACCGTCATTTCTCCTGCTAGTTCAGTCCCACTTGAGCTTTCTTCGGTTTTCCGAGCAGTGTAGTCAATAGCCTCGTTTTGAGAACATCTCCGCCGCTGCTCACCGTGGGGCCCGGACCCCTCATAACAGTCATCTGGCTCATTTTTATCAACACAGATTTCTCCCTCGCCCTCTCCGTCATCTCTCCCTTGTCCTTCTGTGTCTCTGTCACTTTCTCGAGCTTGAGCTTCTTCAAATCCTTGTCGTTCAAGATCGTCACCACAGCCTTCCTGATCAGCTTGAGAACGTTCACTCTTGATCTCCACCAGCACCTCATCTCTCCCCTCAGACTTTCTCTCTTCCACAAAACTTCCCGGTCCTCCTGCAGATGTCTGAGCCTCCATCTCGTCTCCACGTCGTTCGTGCGCATGCGCTGTCTGTGGCACACGATCTGGAAAAGCGGCAGGACTGTGAGGATGTTCATTTATTGCCTCGGTACTTTTGTCCCCTTCCTGTCCACATCCTTCACCGTCCTCTCCTACAGAGCCAGTCGGACGACCCCCGCCCGGTTGTTGAGCAAAACGTTCACTTTTGCGCCATTTTGCGCGTCTGTTTTGGAACCACACCTGTAAGACAATGCATAATATTGTGTATTGAGTAAAGATGGCCAACTTTCCAGGACAACGCAAGAAAAAAATAAAATAAAAAATGAAATAAAATAATATAAAATAAAATAAAAAAAATAAAAAAAATACCCCTCTGGTTCTTCTGTACAGACCCATCCCATCCCGACCACTTTTTACCACAACAACAATCACATTAAAAAAATAAACATTTTTTTTTAAATCCAAAGAATATTTTACAGAAAAGAATGAAAATAATCGTGAAACAGTTTCGAAGAAACTAATTTAACAAATATCCTGTTCGTTTTATCCGTTATACTGCAAACACCCCCGTACAAAAGCAATAGAAGTAAACAATCCCCCCCCCCCCCACACACACACACATACACAAAACCCCCAATAAAACAACGGAGTAGAGAAACTAAACGCCCAAAAATTTGATTTAAAAAAAAGATTGATATGTCTGAACAAAGCTTTTTTGTTTCGGTGAAAAGCGATGTATATAGTTGAAGCTTTGATTTCCCACTTTAAATAAAATTTAACTTTTTTTTCATTGTCTTTGTTTCTCCCTTGACTCTCTCTCTCTCTCTATCTCTCTCTCACTCTCTCTCTCTCTCTTTCTCTCTCTCTCCCTCTCTCTCTCTCTCTCACTCTCTCTCAGTTTCTGTCAATGTATGTCTGTCGATCAGTCTCTCACTGTCTTTCTGTCTCTGTCTCTGTCCCTCCCCCTCTCTCTCTCTAACTCCCCCTCTCTCTCTCTCTCTCTCTCTCTCTCTCTCTCTCTCTCTCTCTCTCTCTCTCTCTCTCTCTCTCTCTCTCTCTCTCTCTCTCTCTCAATGTCTAGAACAGCGAAGACTAATCGGATTCTAATTCGTCATGTTTACCCGGCAACTTAACATGCCCAGAGTTTGCCTTCAGCATCACAGGAACGGCGGGTGGAATAATCCGGGGAGCGGTGGGGGTGGTAGGGAGGGAAGGTTTACTACTTTTTAAATATTTCTACCAGGAGGAATGATTGAAATCATAATATAGTGTAAAGGCAATGCTCTTCGCCTATGTCATCTAACTGTAAGTAGTTATCCTGCGTCTAAGTGGTTATAATCCAATGAACATCTTAACGACTTTTGAGCATCATCCTGTTTAGTTATGACTTTCAATATGGATTACATGAGTAATTTGTATAGTGTGAATAGATTAGCCCGTTCAAAGTCTCTTGTGGATTGCAGGATTTGCTTGTAGCAGGATGAAGTCTACAAATTTGATCTTAGTTCTTTTCGAGAGAGAGACAGCGACTTAAAAGAGAGAATAAGAGAGAGGGAGAGAGAGAGAGAGAGAGAGAGAGAGAGAGAGAGAGAGAGAGAGAGTGAGAGAGAGAGAGGAAGAGACAGATATAAGGAGAAAGAAAAAGTGAGAGACATGCAGTTAAAGAGGGACAGAGAGATGGAACAAGATATACAGAGAACGAGTGGGAAGGAGAGAGAGAGAGAGAGAGAGAGAGAGAGAGAGAGAGAAACAGAGAAACAGAGAGAGAGAGAGACAAAGAGACAGAGAGGGAGAGAGAGAGGGGGGGAGAGAAAGAGATCGAAACGGTCACCAAAACTGCTTGTGTGCTCGTGTTCCGAAGTTTGTTCTTTCAACAACATTAATTAGTGTGTTTGTGTCCTGCTGCTGAAGGATTGTTTAACCACTGCTCTTCTCATACAACAGCCCCCCCCCCCCCCCCTTCCCTCCTTTGACTCAGCCAACAAAAACATTTTAAAACAACGTAGAGAAAACTACTAAACAAGACAAAAAAGAAAAAAACTACGTAAAATACAACAAACAAAAACAAACAGATAAACATATTTTTAAAAAGTGTGATTTCTAGTCGAAGTGTGACTTATTTCAAGCGAGTTTTTATCATCGCGTGATTCAGGCTCAACACAAGAACACTGCACTCAAAGAAAACGCTCCTGATACATTGAGATACGAAGCAACTTAATTAAGTTCAAGGGAACCGGATACATTTTGTTCGAAAACTTTCAGAGATATCTGAGACACTTGTTTTTATAACAGTTCAAGACCAAGTTAAAATCGCTTGACTTTAAAAGATTTCAGAGCTCCATATTTGACTTTTGTTTGGGACCATTTGTACAATGGCATTTGGATCTGTTCAACTCCCCATTTCATACATGGGTGAGGGAATAAAACTTTAAATTAGATTTCTAATAATAATAAGCACCAAGTGAGCCAACAACGTTGGATGGAAACTTCCCGGACCTTCGAATACAGGGTTGATTGTGGGGGGAAATGGCGGTTATAGCAAAATACACATTCTGAATTTAAAAAATAATGCCAGAAGTCTTTTCATTACAGCCAGAAAGGTAACGTTTTTGGGAAATTAAGACCAATGAGTTACACTTTTGACTTCGACAGCAGTTTGTGTGTGTATGTTTCTAGAGCGCATTCACACACAAATATATTAAGATATTTGAGCCACTCAGGTGGTTCATTGAATCCATCCACAAAGAATTGTGACCATGATTTCTCTGTGGCAAGGGTATCAAATGAGTTGTTACAATGATTGTTCTTTTGTGGAGTATCGAATGTGTGATTACAACGATTGCTCTATGGAAAGGGTATCGAATATGTTTCTTACCATGGTTAGACTGTTGCAGGGGAATCGAATGTGCTGTTACAATGATTACTGTGTTGTGAAGTAACGAATGAGTTGTTACTGTGGTTGCTCTATGGCAGGGGTATTGAATGACTTGTTACCACGATTGTTCTATAGCAGGTATATCGAACTCACCCACGGAGCCTAAGTCAAATTACATTTAAAGTTGCGGGCTGAAAATGGATAAATACTCACTGAGCTGTGGAAAACTAATCTTTCATAAACAGTCATATGAATTGAAACAGACAAAGATGACAATTAAAACCGTCAACAATTTTGGTCATTTTAAAGTTAAAGACAAACATTTTAATATGAAACAATTGATACAGTTGAATCTGTTCATGACAACTATCCCTTGTCGAAAAGCAAGTGGTCGTCTTAGAAAGCGAGTTCTCTTTGACAAAGTCATTGCAATATAGAAAAATGCTCAGGGGGGGGTTGTTTGAAACAGTGTTTGTCTTGGACATGTAGTCGTAAGAGCAGGTTCAGCTAAAAGATTTGTTTCGTGTAACCTTGGCCATTTTTCCTCCGAGCTGCTGCCCTTTTCTCTGGTCTCATGGAACCCCTAGCGTCTCCGTTATGACTGTTTACAGAATCCTCCACGGCTAAGAGTAAGCCCCTAATCATATTAGCCAGGGATTATTTCGCCTCATCCATCTAGTGACGATCCAATCCACACTCAATGCGCATTAACAGCTCGAAGGCCTGCTGATAGAGCTCTCAGCTAGCTGCAGAATCTTGTTGCTAGGTCTTTCGTTGGCAAGAAAAATTTGTGCCAGATCACGAGCTTGTTGGTTAGAGAGAAATAGGCTTATAATATACGATGCATTTATAGTGCGGAAACATTGGGGCGGGCGGTTGGCGGGGGCTTTGTTGTGGTTTGTTCCCTCTTTCCTATCCAACATCTATCGTCCTTATCTCCCTTCTCTTTTTTTTATAACACTTCAAACCTTCGGCACTTATACGACCTTGTCGTGTTGCAAGGGCCGTAACACTCTTACTAAAACAATAAAAGGAAACATTGTAAACACCCAAAACAACTACATTTTTCATCATTTTGTCGCGAAGATGGGCATAATGAAAAGTAGTTACATGTACCTTGAATGTATATTTTCCGAGATTCCAAAAGTGTTTCTGAGCGTTCTTGGGTCTGCATGGGTAACAATTTAGATTGTAAAGCGCATAAAGCTTGATATTGAACGGGGTTATGCTATATACACATTTTAATATTTTAAATGGCTATTATTGTTAATTGATAAGGCTAAAATGGGACTGCTCTTGTACGCAAAAGTGCGTGGCGTCTACTTACACAGAAAAGTTAATCTAGCGTCAACTCTTATTTCATTTTGGAGCAACAAACACAAACACACCTACACATACACATATTCGCTTTCACTTACACACACATATGATATATTATACACTCACACTAACACGAACAAACTAAACAGTAAAATAGATCAATATCTAAAACATACGTCTTTGAGACACACGAAAAACCGTAACTGAAGTGTCTGGAAGCTTTAACATGTTTCTAATTGATTTCCAATCTTTCAGACACACGATAAACTGTAACTGAATTTACACCTTTCCAATTGCTGCCACCCAAGAAAACAATCCAAGGATCATGTCCATCACGTACACGGAAGTAGATCCTTCGGGCTAGTGGTTGTATTTTTAATATAAAACTATCTTCGTCGACAAAGCACCTTTAGCAGACGCTTTTCTCAGTATTTTCCAAGAGGTAATAAAGTAGCAATTCAAAGGAAAGCCAACTTCAAAGTTTTGAGGAGAAAGTGCAGAAAAATAAACAATGAAATCCGCTCACATATCAGTTTTTCAACTACACTAGATCTAGCTGCTTAAAATTTTGATCCAAGCAACGAACTGTTATAGGTTGTAACGTAATTATTTCTCTCGTTTAATCTAACAAAGTGCACATCGACATGCGATACTTGGCCTCCATATCCTCAAAACGACATGTCCAAACTAATTTAATAAGCTAGTAATCTGTACTCTCGCAAGATATAAATGAGCAGGCTTAAACAAAGACTTTTAAAAGTGCAACTTCTCCTTTAGGACAACATCTTTTCCCACAAGATTCAGGCTAAACAAAAAAAGGAAAAAAACTCAAATAAAAAAAGCTGTAGAAAAATGAATGAATGTACAGTCATAATGATGGTTATTAATTAGAGATTTGACTTTCTGGTGACAAGTTCCGGCTACACATAGAATGGCGAGCAGGAAAGAAGAGTAGTAAGCGCTCCTTCTAAGCGAAAATAACTCCAAAAACGTCGTTCCCAACAAGTTTCAAGGAAGACAAAGACAGCCAGAAAAGCCTCTTTCAAGCTAAATGAATTATGACGACAAAATTTCACCAGGTAAAATAAACACCTCGACCGCAACAATAATGAGATTCTGAACCTTAAGAGATAAATCGGATAGCGGACGAAACATATTTCTTAAAAGTCAACAGCAAACAACCAAAATAGCACATGTCCTTCATAAAACGCTGATAAAATAAAATAATTATGATAATTTAAAAAAAATAGCATGGACACCGAGAGAGCCCCGCTTCTCCCGGGCGGATCGACTAAGTCTATAATTAAGGCATGGACTGTGGCTTTAGCAAGAGATAAACCTGGCTAATCAGATAAAAGCAAAGGTACAAATACTCCCCAGCGCTCGTAAGAAAATTAGGGCTGGTCATTACTGGCAAACTCTTTTGTCCGGGTGATGTTTGCGCGTCTGCCTGTTGTTTTTGTTTCGTTTTGTGCTGATCTCGTTGTCATTTTGCTTCAGATTTTTATTCTCCCGGGTTTTC